TGACGTACCATAAGTACGTGACCAATGACATATTTATTCAACCACACAGTAATAGTTATTCTCTTTATTTCGCTCAAACCTCCTTCATAAGTGAGTTGTGGTATTTATCCAGTCATGCATGAGCAAATCCTTATTTATAATCTTTATCACATATTGTCATATTTACTTTCAAGAATGGGTGCATTCATCATGCTAATCACAAGTCACATTCTTTCAAGGAATGGACTATAATCATCTAAACATGCATTATTATTTTTTTTCGTACCACTATGATGGTAACTATTGCCTTCACTTTTGAAGGATTATTTTAATAACCCTTATTGTTCTTCTTTTTATAATTACCATAATGATGATTATTATTATTTTGGCCTTTGTCATGTCCATTTATATTCATATGGCCCCGATTATTAGATAGTCTTCTTTCAAACTTTTGATATATTGCTTTCACATTCACTTCAGGGAATGGAGCAAATACAATGGGACGGGCTTCATGATTTTTTTTAAAAATAGTAAAATCATATTATTTTTCCTCAATCATCATTATATCATAGATGTGGTGCATTGGGACTCTAACCCAATGTCTTACCCATATAAGACGTGTTAGGCCATAATGTATTATAACATGGATCCAACGTCTTATCATCATGATGTATCAGGACTTGAATCTGATGTTTTACCTCATGGAGCGGTGCGACTTGAACTCACCGTTTTACCCTCATCGAACAGTATAATAAGCCAAAGTGCATTAGGACTAAACTCGAGTCTTTAAAAATATTATAACTTCATGATTATATGCGTTAAGGAGACTTATGAGATAGACAAATACACAATTTAGATAGTGGCTTACAAATATTTTAACCAACATAGATAATTCTTATAACGGCAAAGGGCCAAATATACTCCTCTACTTTCGAAAATGATCTAAGAATACCTCTCGTTATACTATTGGGTTATCTATACCCCTTCAGTCATACTTTGGGTTCAAATATATCTCTCATTTAAACATCGCACATGTTGGTCAATTCTAAATATCTCCTAATTAATTAAAAAGACCCATTACCCATACCCGAAAAAAATATATATTTTTTTATAAAAACTGGAAAAACTGAAATTATTTTTACTAAAAACTGAAAAAAAACGAAAATATTTTTTTTCCCAGTTTTTACAAAAAAACTGCTTTAGAAAAAACTGAAAAATATTTTCTAAAACAATGTTTTTGTAAAAACTGAAAAAAAAAAGAAGCTGAAAATTAATTTTCTAAAGCAATTTTTTTTGTAAAAACTAGAAAAAAGCTGAATTTGTTTTTACTAAAAGCTGGAATAAAATGAATATATATTTTTTTCCAATTTTTACAAAAAAACTACTTTTAAAAAAAGCTGAAGAATATTTTCTAAAACAATATTTTTGTAAAAACTGAAAAAAAAAACTAAAAAATAATTTTCTAAAGCAATATTTTTGTAAAAACTGAAAAAAAAAACTAAAAAATAATTTTCTAAAGCAATATTTTTGTAAAAACTGAAAAAATAAATATTTTCTTTTTTTTTTTCAGTTTTTAGTTAATAATATTTCAGTTTTTTCCAGTTTTTAGTTGCTTTAGAAAATTAATTTTCAGCTTTTTGTTTTCAGTTTTTACAAAAATATTGTTTTAGAAAATATTTTTCAGTTTTTTCTAAAGCAGTTTTTTCGTAAAAACTGGAAAAAAAAATATTTTCTTTTTTTTTAGAAAATATTTTTCAGTTTTTTCTAAAGCAGTTTTTTCGTAAAAACTGGAAAAAAAAATATTTTCTTTTTTTTTAGAAAATATTTTTCAGTTTTTTCTAAAGCAGTTTTTTCGTAAAAACTGGAAAAAAAAATATTTTCGTTTTTTTTTAGTTTTTAGTAAAAATAATTTCAGTTTTTTTCAGTTTATATATATATATATCGGGTATGAGTAATAGGTCTTTTTAATTAATTATGAGATATTTAGAATTGACCAACATAGCGATGACACGTGTCCCTCCGTGTAAATGAGGGGTATATTTGAACCCAAAGTATGACTGCAAGGGTATAGATTACCCAATAGTATAACGGGGTATTCTTAGACCATTTTCGAAAATAGAAAGGTATATTTGATCCTTTGACGTTCTTATAATATAAACACGTAACTCTAAAATTTATATTATAATAAATCATACTGTGTCAGATTGTATATAAGAATAGCACAAGACTAAATATGCGTTATTAACTTATATAATCACGAAAACTATTTTATGCATGCTCAGTTAACATGCATCATGTAACATGACAATAGTCTTAGATTTTAGATTTACCTTCCAAGTGGGAGTTTTATATGAGATGCTATTTAATATGCAACAGTACTTATTCGGTAATAAAATAACATTACTCGTAATATTAATGTTACTTACGGAGAAATTCCTGAATAGATTTATTGCAACGACAAACGACCAATGACATCAGTTAGTAAGAAAAAGTATCTGCTTACCTTTGTTTCTCCTCGGATACGTTCACATATAGGGTTCTTCAAATCCGAACTGAATCGATGATTTATTGGGTTATTCGTATCGGATTATCGGGGTAATAGATGGTGAACGATTTGAGATTTTATAATTAACGGTTTAACGATTTCGGGGCGAATTACTCAATTTTTTTATCGGGTAAACCATTAACCCGTTAAGAATTTTTATATCTACACTTTTACCCCTATGTAAGACGGCTCTACAGCTGCTTTTGTGTGGGTTCAGCTGGTTTGAGCTTTCTGTGTTGTTCAACTTGAAATGATAAAAACCAGACATTTAGTTCATATTATAGCATAGTAAAGTTAGGCGGGGCGGTAGTAAGATGGATGAAGGTAATTTTCTTCATGTTTATGATGCTCATCTGTATTTTGTATAGTGCAATGAATTGGAACAATATTCTTTGCATAGATTAGCTAGTATCTGTTATGTCTTCCTTATCAATAGTTCTTGTATGTACTAGATTGGAAGGCGACTCTTCAAAAGTACTGTTAGATTAACAAGATAGTCTTTTGAATTTTAATCCGACATAAGTCTGAAAGTATCGACATGTCATCTTACTATGGCCGTTTGGTATTGATTGTTCAAAAATTTTCTATTTGGTTTAGCCGATAACCGCCCGATAATCATTAATGTGATACCAATCCGCTCATTGTCTTATTGGATGGCTAGCGGATTACTACATTTATAATTCGATAACCGTTAAGTCGAACCGTTAAGCGTAATTATCCGCCCGATAAGTACCCCTACTTGGATATGAAAACGATCTTACCCAAGTTCGATAAGTCACGTAAATTATACCTTTTGATATTTAGCTAATCAAAACGAATGTAATATCTTTGCCTAAGCACATCACTTGCAGTATTAGATTAATAATATAAAACATAACTCGGAGGTAGCTAGATGGTAAGGTTAGAGTCTTTGCTATAATTAATTGCCAAATAGTTTGGGTCATCGGTTTTTTTTTTATTAGTATGTAAGTTTGCTTTTTTAAGTTCTTTGCATATAAGAACTATAGTTATTCATGACATATCTTTTCAGTTTTATGTATCACTCTTTGAGAAATTGGATATTGTAATGTCTTAAGTACATATTAATACGAAGTTAATTAATGCAAAGGTGATAAATGAATTAGTTTAGAAGGATGAGAAACGTATCTATACATTAGCATTCAACCCATTTTTGATGTACTTGATCAGGATATGGAGACTGGCTTCCGATTGCAACTTGCCAAAATATTCAATCACAAATACACTCCCCTTTTTTTTTTTTTTTTTTTCTAATAGAAGAAAACTAGAACTCGACCAGGCGGTGATAATGCAAATAGAATTAGAGACATTCGTATCGATAACATGTTATAATATAAGAGCAAAATTGAACAATATAGTAATGAAGACAAGATAGATAGGAGGAGAATATGGATGCTCTCTTATTCAAGTGTATTTTTTGTGTGTCCTTCATAGGATAAAGAATACCTTATTTATAGAATAAGGAAAGATTACTAGAATACACTTAAATATTACAAATATTAAACGATGAATTAATTAAATACATGAACTCAAATGGTTCATAGATTAGGAATATCTAGGAGTATTAAATGGACATCCACTTTAATACTTAATAACAATAACCATAAGATTGCGTGTTCTTGCTTTTAATTTTGCTTGAAGGGCCCGTGAGAGTTTTCAAATTTGGTTTTGCCATTGACTAATTTGATTCTTATTTTGATGTGGCGGATAGGTCAAAAATATGGCCATATATGACATGGCATTGATAGTTGATTACTGAAGTCATAGCTTTCCCACAACTTGGCTATATATTATTTGTGGCATTGATAGTTGACAGTTGATATATACCGGAAAAAAAAATAATAAATTCAGAAATAAATTTCTTTTTAATTTGAATTTAGAATTTTTAATATTTTTATTTTTTATGTTCCCAATAATCAAAACCTATTCCTGATTTTCTGCTAACGGTGATATTAGAATCGCTTGTGGACACCTCAATTAATTCATAAGGTACATATTACTCTTCCACAAAACTCATTCATATTATATACTACAAATTCAGTTAGTTATGAAAAGAAAATGTATCTCTTCAAATAATTGGTGACCAAATGCACTGTACCAGAAGTTTCTCCCACTTTTTTATTCAACCTTCTCCAAATATGGCACAACCTTCAGTTAAACCCAGAAATAATATAATCCCTCCGTTTCAATTTATGTGAACCCATTGGATTGGACACAAAGTTTAAGAAAAGAGAGAAGACTTTTGAATTTGTGGTGTAAAATGAGGCACATATATTTTGTGTGGCTATAAATTATTGTATAAAGTTAAATTATTTTCAAATATGAAAATTGATCATTTTTTTTTGCGCGGACTAAAAAAGAAATAAGTTTACACGTGAGTATTACTTTTTGTTTTTTTAAGTAAAAAGATATAATAATATATTATTTTTACATTGGATGACTCATTATTGATTAGAGTTGTGTCATCACTGAGTCGTCAACTTTATCAATTTTCTCTTTCTTTTGCTCCTCTCATTTCTTTCTATCTTTGCAGCTTCAATCTTTTCTTTCAACTTTTGCATAAATGGCGATATTCTAACCCATATGCTAAAACTTTGAGACAGATAGAGAAAGGTGCTCTTTTTAATATTTTATACTATTAGTTTGATTCCAAAGGTATTGAAAGATCATATAAATGGCCATGATTTCTCGTTTGCTTCGATCCACCATTAAAGCAGCTATCACCGCCCAGGTTTGTTTTTTTAACGTTTCTTAAATTATGAAATTCCATCTTTCTTCAAGCTTTATTGTATATTAGTTTTCTTGTGTAAAGTTAATGAGTTTCTTTGTTGAATCACCCTTTTGTCTGTTTGTTATGTGTTTTTGGCCTTTCTAACGGATTTGTTTTGAGTTGAAAGTGGCTATAAGTTTTATTTTTGATTTTATACTGAAGCTTGTTGGCCAGAGAATGAGACAGCCGTGGTTGATTTTGTGGGACAGAGAATGATAATACCGAGCTTCATTTTGTCTTTTCTCATTCACAGATTTCATCAATGAGAAGAAAAATTGATCTGGAAAATACTCTGTTATCAAAAAAAGAAAAAGAAAAAGGGTGGGGGGGTGGGGGGGTGGGGGGTGGGCTGCCTATGCTCGAATATAAGCTTAGCTTTTTGGAATTAGAACTGATTGATACATTCAATTTTACATAATAACTTGTAGTATGATTTTAGGAGCTGTCATCAAGTCACTGTTTTCTACTTGGAAATTCAGCCCTTTTGGTCTTTTTTATCTTCTTCATATTTAGAATGATCTTAAGCTGAGAATTCTTTTAGTTGGTTTCTAGCCTTGGCTTGAATTCTGCTGAAGAATAGTGAAACTAATCAGAAGGCAACAGATTGTGGACAAACAAAAAGATCAATAAACTCTTTCATGGTGTTTGTTTGACTGTCTCTTGAACAGCCTGTTGCTTAATGTAAAACATTCAACTATTACATACAACTGAGCAGTGGCTGTCGAAATTGCGTTTGGAGCATCACCATCTATTGATGCACATTTTGGTGGATTGTCCGAGCACGAGCCTTGGCTTTACACAGACTTGAGAAATCAAGGAAAAAGAATGGATTGCACAGAGGAGTCTTTCATTCAATCATTTTTTAAGAATTTATAGTCTGCACTATGCAGGGCTGTTATGCCAAAATGTAATGTTGGATAACACGGGAATGAAGTTTCCTGAGGCACTTTTCTGGTGTTTTTAAGTTCATTTTCTGCTATAATATTTTTTGATAAGGTATGATTTTATTGATGTATAGTGGAAAACCCTGGTAAGACTTAAGAGGTATACAAAAGGTAAAAATCCTTGCACAAAAATAGATTTAGCACTGTGCACCAGCTAACATATTGATCTCTTAGACTTGTTCTTAGATGTAAGATTTTGAAGACTAAGTAAATTTAGTTCCATGAAGCAGTATTATTTTTGTTTTTTTACTTTCAATTATGTTTTCTCTGTTCTAATTAATCTGGTTTTGTAGGGTGGTTTCCATACAAAACATATTCCAGCTGTCAGCAGTTTACAGGAGCATATAGTTCGGAATTCAACACAGGCAAGATATAATAGTACAGAGGCATCTTTGCAAAATGATATTCCAGCAACTGATAATAGAGGGTAAATTCTATTTCTCTTTCTTACCATTTGATCTCTGTTTTCACCTACCATGTCTGTGGACAGTCATTACCAATTTAACTTGGCATTTCTTCATGTGTAGTATATTAAGTCATGTGTGATTTTCAGTATATCTCTGAATATATTTCACTCAGTTGACATATAAGGGGTGCACCTACAAGTACATAAATTTTTCATTAACCATTACATCTCCACTTATGCAGGTTTAGGGGTCATGATATGTTGGCACCCTTCACTGCTGGGTGGCAAAGTACTGATGTGGATCCTTTGATTATTGAGAAGTCTGAGGTTAGATTTATAGCTACTTTGGATGTCTAACTTGAGAAAACTTTTTCTTTCCTTATCAGTTTTTATACTTTGTCATAGGGATCCTATGTCTATGACATAAAAGGGAGAAAGTATCTTGATACTCTTGCTGGTTTGTGGTGCACAGCGTTAGGTACGTAAGATCCCTTTTATTAAGTCTTTGGTGTGCACTTTCTTCTCCAAATGTTTTAACTTGTATATCTTTCAAGTAAGTTTTGCTGTTTGGTTAACTCTCCAGACAGACATTGACAAGCTTATGTTTTCACTCATTATGCCAGATATTTTTCTTACACGATTTAACTGCTAATTCTTTTCGGTAATGAGAATAAGTAGTTGCATCATGATCATAACATCCAAGCAATTTGTTTTAAATTGATGTTTAACTCCATTAATGAAAATGCGGTGCATCTTCAGTTTGTTTTGTAGTCAATGTTTACTCTGTTATCCGGATTTCGTTGCATTTGAAATGTGTTAGTGGATGACAGCTTGAACCATATATTGTAAGGTTACCATTTAGGGAAACTCGTAACTGTTTTAATCTTGGTAAAAGCTTTTTTTTCATTATCCAAGTATAAGAAAATAGTTTAGTCTGAGTTGTTTAGATTTATGAATTTTAAGTGATAATTATAGTTCCATACGTCCATTTTGGGAAATGGACTTTCCATCCTTTCAGAAAATTGTGTTAGGGCTATTCATGTTTCATATTTGTGATGCAGCTCTATGTTTGTCAGATTGTGACAGTTAACTGGATATTTGTTTTTAAATCTCTTAACTTTTTATCTTGGGAAATACTCGACGACATTATATTCAGTTGGGTGTCCGTTATCCAGTCTACTCAATGTATTAGTTGTAGAAGTCGTTTTTCCATTGCTGCAAATTAATTTTCTAAAGAAAGTGGGAAGATCTATCATTGCTGTACAATTGCAACAAGTATGCCATATTATATCTCTACTGTTGAATGTGTCACATGTTGAACTGTGATAGTCTAGGGGACGGTCCAAAACTGGAGAGAGGCCTCAGAAGGGCGTTGGATTTTATGTGATTGCGCAAGTATGCTTAAACAGAAACAACTTAGAACTTGTTATCAGACAATGGCTAATTCTTGACAGCTATGGAACTTTGCAATGAGTTTTTATTTATGATGTATCTGGAACATGTCTACACTGTTTTAACAACTTAAATATTCTTATAGGGGGAAACGAGCCTCGCCTTGTTGATGCTGCCACTAAGCAATTGAACACATTGCCCTTTTACCATTCATTTTGGAACCGTACTACAAAACCTTCTTTGGTATGGCAAACCTTCAGCTGTGTCCTTACATGGAAAAGGAAAATCTTAGCGATGTCTTATTTTGGTTTTGAAGTTTTACTTGGATCTCAGGATGATTGCATTTTGAAATATACAGGATCTTGCAAAGGAGCTTCTGGATATGTTTACTGCAAATAAAATGGCAAAAGCATTTTTTACAAATAGCGGATCAGAAGCCAATGATACCCAGGTTTTGCTTATTGCCTTCAAACTAAGGGTGGCATGTGGGCCGGGCCCGGTCCTAAGTGGGCTTCGCGG